TAGCATCATGCACAGCAATAAAAGGGAAAAGAGAGGGTTCTACAAAGTTAGCCATCTTATGCTCAGGAACTGACTGGGCAATGGTCTACCTGTGGGAGATGGTGAGTTATTTCCTTTGCATGCCTGTTTTGTTTTCTTTCTCTCTTTCTCTTTTCCTCTTTTCCTTCAGTTATTAAACAATTTTTGTTCCAATCCACGAGGTCTATTAGTTTTACCCTTCCTTTCTTCTTCCCCTGTTCCACTGGAGTGAGGGTGTGTGTAGTAAGCAAGCAGCTGTGTGATGCTTAGCTGCCTACTGGGGTTAATCCACAATGGTCTCATAAGGACATATTCCAGTAATTTAAATTAGTTTACAAGTTATGGACATCAGACTGACTTGTGTGATACAAAAGAACTTTGGGCTTTTAACATTTCTGGAAATTGTAAGAAGCCCGGTCACAATGATGGGAAGTGTCTGGTTTGTATGTAATATATTAATAATATTCCACATTTGCACTGACCAGTAGGGTTCATAGCCATGTGCGTGATGCTTTCTTGAGATACAGAAAGGTGAGACCTTGGAGCTGATGGTGCACGTTGAGTTGAGTAGCATGGAGATAGAAGGCAAGAATTGCCTTTTCAAAGTGGAATAGAGCTATTTGAGAAACTGTTAATAAGTTATTAAGTAACTAAAACTTTCAAAACTCTCATGTACTGGTCTGTCAAAAATCTGAACTTTGTCTCAATAGATCAGTATACTCTTAAAATGGAGTAGTTTTATCAGGAAGAAAGCAGTTACTTTAGAATTGACTGTTGCAGTCCCACGCACCAGTAAATATGTAAGCAAAATAAAGTACCAAAGTAAATTATTTCAAGCAAATAAAGTATCATGAGAACTATTATTGTAATACTTTCAGACTAAGCAACAAAATTTACGTGTCTATAAATGTGCCAGCTATATGAGTCCTTAAATAGTCCGGACTTACTAATTTACTGTGTGTCATTTTATGATTATTTACTGTAATTAGAAATAATCCTGACATACTAGCTTTTTCCCCATGGTAAAATTTGATAAGGGCTTTCACTGTTAGTCTGTTTTTGTTACTGTGTACATGTAGGAAAAAAGCCTAAAGATTTGAACTTGCAAACTTGTTGTCACAGCAGGGCTGTCCGCAGCGAACTACAGGTTTGCATTCCTACCACATGCAGTAAGGTTTTCTCTATAGACTCCTGTCACCGAGGAATTTAGCAAGGAACAAGAAGTCTTCAGTCAGAGAAGGGCCACAAGTGTGTGAAAAGCTAGCCACACATAAACACTAAAGGTCATTAGCAGGCTCCTAAACTCCTAGCTAGGAATTAGTTTTTTAGATTGTTAACGGTAAAAAAGCCTAGGAAATGAATAGGACTCAGTGTCCTATTAAAAATTAGCCAGAACAATTAAAAGGTTTTCCAGTTTTTAATGGGAACCAGACCTGATGCCTCATTTTCCTTGTCTAGTGGGCTGTTTCTGTGTTTTGAATGACATTAATTTTATGTCCTTGTATTTGCAAAGAAATATCTTGAACTGTTTTTTCTGTATAGGAGTTGTAAATTATTTACAATGAGGGCAGTGAAATCTTGGGAGACATAGAATCTAGTGTCTCCCTAAGACTGTGTTATTGAATCCAGGTCTTGTGACTCTAAACTATTACAGTTAATTGTGATAGGGTGGCTTCTGGTGTGTGCAAGTGTATATTTTGCAAACTTCTAATACAGTTGCTGTATTATGCAATTCCATAAGTTAAAATGCTCATTTGTCTGCAAATGCACAGCCTTTTTTGCTGTGAGGTGACTCTCCTTATGGTGTTACATGTTTCCCTAAACTCAGTTTTCTGAGTTCCACAGCAGCCTTTCTGTGTTCATTTCAATGTAAATTCCTTGCTGCTGAGTGGATGACTGACAGTTATTTAAGAGCTGTCTTCTCCTCCACTGTATATTTTTCCTTAAGCCTGTAGTCGCCTCTTGACTTCAGCACAAGAAAATAATGAACAGTGAACCTTTAGTATTTTAAAATGTAATTTTTGGAGAGGTTTATTAAATACTTTCTTTCCTTATCTTTGTATCTTAGCATGCATATCTTAGAAAAAAATCCAGAAGGAGGAAGAGAGAGAGAGAAAGAAAGAGAGAGAGAGAGAAAGAAAGAAAGAGAGAGAAAGAAAGAAAGAAAAAGCAAACAAGCAAAAAAAAAGTAATGTTTTACACTGTCTGATTTACCAGCAGGCCTACCACTCTGGAGGAAAAGCCCACAAGTTCCCAAACTTTTTCACTCTATAGCTGTTATACTCATTTCCCTCCCCATATGCCTTAGGCTCCAAATCATCCGACTTAACCCTCTGGTAATAATCAAGGTAATCTATGAATACAAACCATATGATTTTCCTGAAAGGAAAAAAAAGAAAAAAGTAAATTTGGATGGGGAAAAGTGGATTGCAGATAAATGGGGTGGGAATGGGGAGAATAAAAGGAGAGGAGAAAGGCAGGACAAGATAATCTTCCTCACAATGTTAATTTTGTACTTGGTCACTCATTTACTCCAGATGCAGAATTCCTTTCTGCAGTGAGTGAATTGCCCTGTCATTAACATAAAATTAGCTCCAAATGGTCTTGGCCAAGAGCTTTGAAATATGTTAGTATAGAACCACACACTCAAAAACATGTGGGAATCCATGTGGGCTTCCAGATGTGAGAATCTTCTGTGTTACAAATATAGTCATGTTTATGCAGTGTAATAATCTGCTCAGTGGATATACTGTAGATGCAGCTGTGCTTCAGCAGTGGTCTGTTATGTGGTGCTCTGCCTTAGTGAATGCGTCTTGTTTCTTACAGCGAGTCCATTCTGGTAACGGCTACTTGTAAACAAACATTGGCATGCGAGTTAAAATATTCTTTCGTGAAATGTAAGGAATTCAACATGAGCTAGTAGATTGAATTGAGAGTGGAAGTTTGAAAAATTTCATGTTTTCGTTTTTGATTCCTCACAGTATTTTGCTGCTAATTGTTTTTCCCTGTCTGATTTACATTTCATCAGTGAGTGCTTTCTGCACTAGGATTAAAATTTGAAAGACTGAAAAAAGTTTGAAGAAATCATAATATTTTCCGTGTTATCTAAATAAGTGTTTAAGCTAGTGATTTGATTTCAGTTATATTATCAAAAATACAAGGTTATCTGAATGCCAGTGTAGTTACCTGATTCTGTGTTCACCTAACTAATGATCCATACCCACAGAGATAGTCTGTTGATGCTCCTTTTTTTCCTTTTTTTTTTTTTTGGCATGTTTAAAAGCCCTTATTATCTCTTTCTTTAATGCAGTTGTCTTCTGTTGTATATGGTGTAAGAAGGGAACTTGTAGTATCTTCGGGAAAGAAATTAATCTGTGCAGAAAGACTAGTGTTTTGAGAAAATCTATAAAGCTGAGTTTAAGCACATCAATTAGTGCCTGAACTGTATGGTATTCCGTCTGTAGCAGTGACTGTTAGCTATTCTTAATGATTCAATATGTAAGTACAGAATGGTCACTGAGAGTAACCTGAAATGTTCACTTTGTAGTGCCACTTAGTAATTTTTGATAGCCCCAATTTTGTCAAAGAAATTCTATTCCTTCCTGATTGAAAATTATCTTTATTCATCAACATGAATATTCAGTTTCAGGTGTAATCCATACACCTAGTGCTACTTGGTCTGTGATCTCCTCATGCCATATGCATCAAACAGGATCATGTCACTCCTGTAGTTGGAATAGAGACCTTCAGGGGAAAAAAAATCAACTCTACATCTGATATTGATCTCTCCTCTGAAATGACAGTAGCTCCATCCTCTAGCACAATGGAAAGTAAATTCTCTGTAATAGTCATTACACAATGAATAAAATTGTTGTTTGACATAAATCACTGTAGCCTAAGAGTTCACTAGACTGTCAGCTGATCCTTTGTCTCTTGGAGGTTGGGTAAAACTGAGGCTTTTATTGTAGAAAGCATCTTTTTCCATTAAATTTTGCATATTGTTTCCAACATTTTAATACATATTAATAAATCTTCTGTATCTCCCATTTCAAGTGCATTATGCGTATCAAAAATAGGTCTTGTACTTACCATTATAATCTTTAAAGTGTCAGAGAGTATTGTGCTTCTCTGTTTTCAGGAGCATTAAAGATTGTAAATGCTGGAAGTAAATTCCCATTGCAAACCTCTTTGAGCAAAATATCCTTTGCTATTCATCACCATAACCAGCTAATATCAGTTGTTATCTTTAATAACAAATGTTAAGAAATGTCCAGAAATGGAGACCTGTATGATAAAAAATTATAGGAGTGTGACACTCTGAATAAGAAATTCACCGAAAAGATACATCTGTGAGCTATGCAAGCAGTGACAGCGTGGAGGAAGCACTAAAACTGTCCTACAGAAGGCAGAAGAATAATTTCTTCTGTCTCATGCCATGGGTCATGCTTGACGTGGTTGAGAGAGACTATGTGGCATTTCTACAGTGAGAGGCTGGGAATACTTCAGTCAGTATGTGACAGTCTTGTGGGCTGGTGCTGCCCAAAACTGTTTCTGACCCCAGTTGCATTGTCCCAACAGTCTTTTAGCAATGTGCTATTTTTCTTTCAATAACTAAAATCTTAATGTGTGCATGTCTGTGTATACACAACAAACCAAGATACATGAAAAAGTACATGCTCTGGTAATTAAAAAGCAGTCAGATCTAGTGCAAGACTATGCCAAGGCAAAGGCCTCAGTGCCTTGCAGACATCAGACTTCTGTCCTAACTTTGAGCACAGAATCTATCTAGAACCTAGTGAGAATGTTACGTAAATGATGTAATTATGTAAATGTATATTTAAATTAAGTTTGAATTGAAAAAACATTTATATTGGTTTAAGGGTTCTGCCAGTGCTTTTGTATCTCTCAAACTGTTTTATGGTGCTACTTTTAATTAATTATATTTTGACAGAAGAAATTCTCTCCTTTTTTTTTTTTTTCAGACTGAAGAACAAATGAGCCTCTCTGAAGAGCAGCTTAAGACCCTTCTGGAAGAATGTATGCAGCCTCAGAGAACAATAAGTAACGTTACCATGCCAAAGTCTCAGGAATCTCTTTCTTTTGGATTAAGTCCCCCTTGTTACACAAGTCAAGACTCCACTCTTCACTCCACATCTACTCTTTCCAAAATGTTAGTTGAAGACCATATTGTAGGGATGTTAATGGCTCAGGAAAAGGCTGGACTCGAAGACAAAAGCTTATGTGCAGAGAGTGAAATCCCTGGCTACTATATCAGCAAAGCATTGGCTGGTAGTCACTTATCAAAGGATTCACTGGCCCAAACAGAGGAACCTGATGACCTAGAAGGTTTACAGAAGATGGAAGATAAGAGTATTACTGAAGGTTACTTTATGTCAAGAGCACTCAACACAAAAAGATTGAAGAAACCTTCTTTCCTGGGTGAACCATTATATTGCATCAGCATGAACAATGAGCCATGCACAGAGGCTGACATTCTCAGCATACCACTGCAAACCAAAGGAGGTGAGACTCTTAACAACCCTTTAGAATAGGCTTTTGATTATAAAGAAAAAAAACTAAGCAGGTTCTCACCAAAGGTATGCATCAATACACACTGATCATTATGGTGGACCAAGGATGTTCTTTTATAAAACTCTGCCAAAAATAATACACACAAAGTAACAGAATGTTTATTAAAATTTTTGCTCTGACATAATTGACTAGGAGTTTTATGAAATACTTCACTGATGTTGATTAATTCTGTCAACTGGAAAACAGTGTTGACAACACATATGGATTATCTTTTTGGTAGTAGGAAGTCCCGTTCACTGTTCTGTGGAGAGTAAATACTCTCCCAGTAGTTGGTACAATAATTCACTCAAAAATTCAAGTGTTTTATGCAAACTTTTAATAAAGTACACTCAGTAGTATAGAAACAAATATGATTTAGCTGTGTTAAAAATACTAAACTGCTTTCAGGGAGTTCAGATTTACACATAGAAGATACCAAAATTAATAAATACTGCACAATTTCTATTAATTACTTTTAGTTTGGTAAAAGAAAGAAAGAAAGAAAGAATAGGCTTTAACCAGCAAAAAATGAAAACCTCTACTTGGCATTATAAAAGGATTGTGGAAATGCCTCTGGTTTTTATGTCCTTTATTTATGTGCAATTATATAGTGATATTGTAATCTAAATTTACATTTAGATTTTTAGCCTAAGATTACTTCTCTTCCTGTAAAACCAAGTGTTCAAATAAGCCAGATTTTAGGCGGGTAAATCTTTCACTTCTTTCATAAAAGTTGTGACAGTATGAAGTTTGTGATTACAGTGCTACAGTTTAATTTTATTAGAAAAGAATACATTCTGCTTTGTTTGTCAAGATTGGTCTTCGTTATACTAGTAATCTATTCTGAATTTAGAGAAACTTTTTTTTTTCACATACCTTGGTGATTTAGAAGAACATCCTAATATTGCTTTGCTGTGTTATAATTTCTTAATTATGATCACATCTGTTTCATTGGTTTTTTATACTTAACCTTTCTACAGTGAAGAGAATGTTATTATTTTTCAGAGGGATTCCACCTGTCGGAAAGCAGGAAGTCTTGTTATTGCTGCTTTTACACTGCCAAACAACTTGATATCCAGAGTCACTTGCCATATTTGCCCCTTATGAGATTTATGTCATAGCTGCTGCAACACGAAGAAAATAGTACCTGTAGAAAAGGTTGGGTGATTTGGGGTTTCTTTTGGTAGGTTAGTTTTCAGCTACTTTTACATGCCAGCTGTGCTCTTCATGTAGATGCAAGCATCAGAAGAGCAGAGCAAGGGAAGGAGGAAGCCATCTGCCCCAGAGGAGAGCAGGGTGGCAGTGGTGCTCATAGGGAACACCACAGAGGGTCACCTCTGCCAGCAGCAATTGATCTCCCGCAGGAGTGACATGATTACATACTGTGCCACCAGTCTTCTTTGGCAACCAACAGTGAGAAAAACTCAGTAACTTGCTGCCTTCACAGCTTTAGTTCTTTAGTTAGAACTTTAGTTCTTTTTGTCCAAACAGATGTAGTACAGTTAGAGCCAAGTGTGACTCAGCCACAATTACCACCTCACATAATGAATGTGTTTTAAGGTGGGATGTGGTAAATCAAGGCAAAACACCATGCAGTGTGACCACTAGGTAGTGAAGTGAGCAGGTAACCGTATACATAGTCACTATGACGTAATTTTATTGCACAAGAGAGGAAGATTTTCACTATTAAGTAAATTTCCATATAGGACATCTCATGGTAAAAGTCTATAAGGTGAATTTGTTAACATTTATCACATAATAATTGAATTATATTTGAGTAAAAATCGTGTGTGCCAGAGTAATGCGAGGGGTATTTTAATTATCTGTTTTCAGTAGTGACTGAGTAATGTTCAACCATGTAGAACTCAATTCTGTATGGTTAATAAACAGCTTGGGTTTATGATTGTTTTGCTTACCAATTTTTTTTTTGAGGGGGGAAGTATTCTGAATTTTCAGTCTCTGATTTATTTTAAATTTTTTGCCAGAAAGATAAAAACAAAACCAAGGAGATAATTACAGATATTTTAATGTCATCAGGCTTTGAATTTTTGTATCAGTGTCTAATTTTTTAAAGTAGTGTGAACAGGTAACTGTTAGGCACAATAAAAGTGCAAAAAAACACCCCCCCTTCAGAGGTTTGTAACTGCTAAATATTTTACAGATATAGATGTTTAAGTGTAAATTAATTATATTCAGATGTATTGTATTCTGTTAGTATTACTGTTATGATTAAACAAACATCCAAAATTAGCATTTTAATAGTCAGCAGTCCATTCTTACTATTTTTGTTAATGTGCTGTTTACAAGTAAGTGTATAGCATAAAATAGAAAATCCTGGTACCTTTCCGTGGAATTAATTTGTTTCCCACGAAGGTGATTCATTTCTGTCTGAAGCAATTATTCCTGGCCATAAGCAAAAGGGTGTGATGTTTATCAAATCTGTAAAGTTGCTTAATGTATTCTGTAGATAATCTGGTTGTTAGTTCAGACATGATTAGATATGCTAATTATATTGAGGAATGGAGATCCCAGTGGAATCCAGTTTAAGATAAATACATCTGCAAATGAAGGTGTGAGAAGTGTCAGTTGTTATTTTTATTTTTAAGAGATATTTACATAGTTGAGCTTTGTTATGGTCTTAATTCTAAAGGATATTTAAGCATGTATGTGTAATCTTTTGTAAGTAGTTTGATTTTCTTACCAACTTACACATGATTTAAATTCTCTTTAGTGCTGGGTAAGCAAAGAAACTTGTGTTTGTGTGAAACTGGTTTGGCACAATTTTGGTTTTGCAGTCCTTATGGTACTGTAGTCTGTGATATTGATTTACTGTAATACATTAAATGATACATATTTTAAGGGAAACATAATTATGAACATAATGCATATGTATATATGTGTGTGTATATATATGTGTGTATATGTGTATATATATATATATGAAGGAAACTCTCATGTGCCTTCAGAGATAAGTAATTCCTGTTTCTTGAAAGAAGCAGTAATCTACATCCCGCTCACATGCATGTAAACGTAGATGATGTTTACTGAGGGAAGCAGAATCCAAGGCTATTATTTCTCAGTTGTATAAGCCAAATAGTAATTATTTCCAGCTCTGTTTTGGGGGGCTATATTAAGTTTTAAGTAGAAGTTGTATCACAAACTGTTGTTACTTTTTCGTATTGCAAATAATGTTATACTTACAACAGTTCAGCATATTTTTCTTTTTTTTTTTTTTTTCCCCAGGTGATATGAACATTGAAATTTGAGGGGAGAGTGACTGTATGCTTCTTTGCCCAACTGTTTTTCTGCGAGTGTGGTGTGGTTAAACCTCCATCAGTGATATTATTCTGATTCAGTATAATTTCAAGCAACCTGAAGGGTATGAATTATCATCATTGAAAATGTTCCATGAGTTGACTTATTCTTAAGAGATAATTATTATTGTCATTATTATATAGTGTTGCAGTTTGATTTCAAAATAAACTCTTGCATTTCATTAAATTAAATACCTAAGAAATAAATGTATGCACACATTTGTGTAGCTGTGTGTCTGATAGATATGCATGTCTTTGTTTGTGAAAAATGTAAAATAAAACTTGGAAAGTTCAGTCTCTACTGACAGGGCTTTATTGGAGCAGATGTGAAATGTATGTAATAATTTTATTTTTCTTCACACACACAGTCTAGATTTTTCATACATTTAGCTAAAACCTGGCCTCTCGTTACCCCACTGCAGTTTGCTGGAGCTTGAAGCCTGTCTGAACCAGAGCCCTGATGTGAAGGATCCAGCTATGTACTTGTTTTTTTGCCCTGGGGCTGTCTGTTGGCTGGACAGCTGGTTTGGTTGAAGGTTCGACTTGCACAAGTCCTCTGCTGAGTTAGAACATCAGCACTTGTCTGCTCAGGTCTGCCTGAATCTTGCCTGCATAGAGTGTGACCACACAGCAAACGGTGGTATCCTCTAGTTAAGAAATGTAACTAAATGAGGAGAAATCACAGTCCCTGGCTTGGTGTGAGTGAAAGGCTTGGTGTGAGTGAAAGTGAAGGAGTTCAGAAGTTACTTGATTGTGAAATGTTATAGTAATGGCTACCTGAGGAGAGGGTAACACAGCTGGCTTGTGTTTGGGACAATAGTAACAATTCATTACAGGTGTTTGATTGTCTAGTCTTTAACTACTGTTTTTCCTGATTTTCTCCTTATTTACTCAGCTGATGGTCAGTTTTTAATTTCATGCACTGCAGTGTCAGAAAAAAGAAGACATTATTAAAAAATGTGGTTCTTCTTAAAAAGTTCTTTTGTTAAGGCGGAGAGATATTCTAGCAAAAAGGATTCAATAGATTTTTCCCATTGACAAACTATCCTGTGATTTGACCTAAAAGGACAAATCTAGCCATTTAACAGTCACCAAGAAAAGATGTATAGATACAACTCTACAACGGCTGTTACCACATAGGGCTTACTTGATCTAATCTGAATGTTTAAATTAATGCACATATTGGCCCAGATTTTAATCTAATTTACAGAGTTGCCATTAGGAGTGGATTCACTCCTGGGGAAGTGGTAATTGTGTGGATATAACAGAGATCAGAATCTAACCTACTTGCTTTTCTTTAAAATCAGGATGGGACATTATGTTTGTCACAGGCAAGTGCTATTTCTTCCTTTATTTTCTGATATTTTTACTTACTCTGCAACAGCAATAACAAACCTGTGGATACTGGGTGTTCTGCATAGAATTCCTGTAAGCACGTTTCATGGAGCTTTGTAAATCTCACCTAGATGTATTTCTCATCTTCCTTAAAGATATTAAGCCTGTGTCATAATTTCAGTAGCGTAAATACAATCAAAGGAATACCAACAAGTTTTTTCAAGCCTCTTTTCTGTGACTATATGATATTCGTGCATTGCTGGCCACTGACTATAATCTTTCCACAATCCAGTTATTTTCACAATGAACCTGTGTTTTATAGAGACCTTCTCAAAAACAAGTGTTCCAGGTGCTTGGGTATTTTTTTAAGAAAATCAGGTTTTGTTTAGAGATTATATATAGTAAATAATTTTTAATTTTCTTGGTTTTATGTTATCTTAACTCTCCTGATGTTATGAAAAAGCTTTTCCTCAAGGCAGGGTCACTGTTGCTGACTAAGCCTTACAAGATCCCTGAGGCCATGAATGCACTCTTTATTCACGTCTGCCATTTCAGGGATAAGGAGGTAAGTTTGAATGACTATTGACTTGAAGTGTATATTCCAACAGGAACTCTGTGACTTAACTTTTAGTCTTGGGAAATGCTGAGCACCCAGCACCAGCTGTAGTCACTGCAAACCACAGGGATGTAGCACTCATGGCCTGGTATTCCAAAGGTGCATTGGGTCAGTACCCAAACAGAGACTGTCATAAACTAGTGACCTAGTATTTATCTGTGCTTGCTTTCTACGGCATTATATTAAATAACAGGTTCTTTGGGAATATTTTCTTTCTTGCTTCGTATTACAGGTGAATTATCAATTCCAGCCCTTATTTCTTCTTTTATTTTCAGTTTTAAGTAAAACTGTAGGAAATAAAATTATTTAGTAAAATATGGTTACTGGTAAGATGTACACAAAAACAGAGATCTTATATAAAATATGATGACAAGGTCATTTGCTGAAACATCACCAATACCAGGGTAAAAGGAAAGTTGAGCCCAGGAGGATTCATGGGTTTTTCTTTGTTTTTCCAGTTACTCTGTGTTGTGACCTGCAATAACCCCTCTGTCGGGGCTCACCACTTGAATTCCAGCTGCACTGGAATGTGGCAGCTTCTCCTCAGGGAGTGATGCTGCAGTGATGATTAAGATATTTAAATGAATTTTCTTTTGCAGCCTAACTCATGATTTGGAAACAGATTTTCTGAAATACATACCTTCATTTGCCGTAAGTTGTATTTGGCAAAAGATTCTGATAACTAGCTTCTTAACTGTCTTTCCTAGCTCCTTCCATCCCAAAACACAGCAGAGCAGAGGAGACTGATTTTTAAAGTTATCCTTCTGACATTTGGGCTTTGAGATGTTTGAGGAATAAGAAATTTTGTGTGTGCATGTAGGTTTATGCTGTTTGCTTTCCTTATTTCTTACTATGATTTTACAGGACAAGATAGATGCTTTCGTTCCAAAAATTTAATGCTGGTGAAATCAACATACCCGTGAAGAGGTTTTGGTGTGCTTGTGTCAAATTCTGAGCAATATATGACCAAACCTTTCTGTCTTTGTCACTGAGACCCTTCAGTAATACACATACAGTGCTGCTGTCTGTAGTGGCCAGTGCTCAGCTGTTGATACTGAGTTCCTCAAGTGGTTATGTTTCAATGCTGCACAGTTTGCCCTTTTAAATTACAAACCCCACATTGTTTTCCTCTGAAAGTGGAAAATAAGGGTAATTCACTCATTTTTGTGAACCACATGTGTGTATATATATGTATACATAAATTATATGTATTAATTGAAGATATAATTTACAAAATATACTATAATTTTGAGTAGGATATTTTCAAGAACTACAGTATTGATTTCAATATACTGTAATGGTGTGAGAAGTTCAGTCCAGCCTTACAGTTATGCAGATTTAGAGTGGTTTGAGGGATTTTTATTTCAAAGAGCAGTGAACAAACTAAATATCCTGATTAAAAAAAAAAAAAAAAAAAGTTTGCATCTAGACAGTAAAATGAATGAAATTATTCTTACATGCTCAGAATTCAAGTTTAAATTAAAGGAGATTTACCAAGGGTTAAAAAACTTTCAGTTTCATCTTTAAAAGAAAAAAAAGAAGAAAACGCCCCACAAAAATTCTCAGCCTCATGCCTCTTTCCAAGCCAGACATTGGCTGGTATCTACTTTGTGGATCTGTAGTGTATGCTTTCCCTCTCACTTCCCCAGCAGAACTCCTGCAGAGCCAGTGGGCATGCTGAGCGCAGAGTGAAAACAGGCTGTGCAAAAATTATCTGCTGCATAGATCAGAGGAAAGGGCTGCTTAAACATGTCATCAGAGTAACAAGGACTAGTCTAGAAATGCAAAAAAGTATGCCAGTAAATTCATGTGCTGGAAAGGGTGCATTTTTACCTCCAGATCAGGGAGGGATAGGTGAGAGGCAGTTGTTTCTGGCTCAATTTCTGTAATTTCAATAATTATAAGAACTTTGGATATTTTATTAAAACCCCTTATTTGCTAGATAAAATTTCAGCAAATGAAATTAGAATGCACCTTTTTGTTATGCTTGTTAAAAAGGCTTTCTAAGCACCACTTTGAATAATACCTCTCTCTCTTGCTTTTTATATGCAAAATCTGCCACAGTTGACACTTTCAAGAGCTGACATTTCCTCCCCCACTGATGAATAGAGAGCCTCACCTCTGGTAATCTCATGCAGTGTGAAGGCTAGACACAGAAGACAAGGTGGCTTGGCAGATTCTCAGGAAGCTGATAAATTAGGAGGGTTTATGAAATCTGGGGGAAAAGAACTGATTTTTTTCTTTAATTTTCAACAGATGCATTTATTGAGAAATAATTGCTCCTTTTTTTGTAGGGACATTTAAAGGTCAGAAAAATTGTTTCATTTTTAGATAGAATAGAGGCACTTGAATACTACTAATACTGTAACCTACATTTTTCCAATTATACGTTTCGTTGAGGGATTGGCTGGAATCCAGTTGCAGTAGTTAGAATAAAAGGCTCCCTGTCATTTAAGTCTATGTGAAATAGTTCACTGCTTGCAGTTGACTCTGAGGTATCTTATCTGTTAAGCTTAAAAAGCCCCCAGTAAACTGGAATACTCTCTTAAGTCCATGAATAATTTTGCTTTGTAGGCAAGTATTCTGCAGTTAGAACTTCTGAAAATACTGATCTGTGCCATTGTTTTCTTACTGTTTGCTTTGTGTATTTGGTGTGCATAGTTTTGGTGGGAAGAGTATTGCCAGAGGCATTTTACCCTAATTTTCCAATAACACTGAAATGGTCTCTCCATATGCATTTTGTGAGCAGAGTCATCAAGGCAGACTGACACAGTATCAAAGCAGCACTCGATTTAGCTCTTGTAGATGTTGCCTAGGCTAGCAGTTCTTGACTTTGAAAGCAGTTGAAAAATTAAAGACAAAGAATGTCTGGGCTTCCTGGGATTTGTTTAAATTTGAAAATCGAGTTTCTCTATGATACTTGTCTAATTTTATGGATTTCCTGTGGAAGATTTTATCTTCAAGACTTCTGCTTGCCAAACACTTTTCTCTAATGAGTTCTCTTCCTCCTTTTATAACTCTGCTTGAATATTTATATAACTTTGTGCACTTGTTTTTTCTGTCCTGGAAAAGATGAGAAATAAGAAGTAGAACTCACTTTGTGGATTCTTTAAGATGCTCACTTCTGTAATCTCAGCAATCCTTTCCAAAATGAATTTATGTTGAAAATCTGCCAATAACCATACTATGGACTTCACTGCAAAAATCATGCCAATATCAATGAAAATTGCAGTATTGTCATTAAGATGCAGATTTGCTATGGTTATCTCAGTCTTTATAGCTTATAAATATCTGCAGGTTAAACTGCTACACCTGGTGAATATAGATTTGATGCAGATGACTACTTTAAAATGTAAGGTACTGCATTTGCATGGGCTCTGAGCAAAGCGTGCTGTGGTAAGAAAACACTGTGTTCTCTTCAATAGCCTCAAATTCAAAGATTACCTATGCAAAAAAAGGTGGCCAGATACCAAATAACACTAGAAGTGGCATGCATTGGTTGGTACACTTACTTGTCCCACTAATGAGTCTCCAAGGTGGTGGGAGCAGCAAATTTCTGACAGGCTTCACCTGCAGAGTTTCTGCCCTGTGAAGTGTGGCCATTATTCATGTTCTTCCTGGTTTTCTTTAGTAGTTGTTTCTTTGGACAAGTCAAGGCCCAGCTTACCTTAACTATGACTCCTGCTTGTGCCTACTGTATTCACACTCACCAAACAAAAAGTGGGTGGACTTACTTAAGCTATGGGTTAATACAAAGCATGTGGCTTGCCTTTTTTATTCTAGTGACAGTAAAAGCTACATAAATGCATGTAATAAATTAGATGAAAGTTTGGCATGGGCTCAGACAAGGTCACTGGAATGTTCTGCCAAGGCTACCTTCCCCACATCAGCAGCAGATCTCTGTTTCAAACTTCTCATTAAACCTACATATATCTCTATGGAGACATATCTGTTTAGACAAATGGTTGACTTTAAGGTATCTCATTCTTCCTGCAAGTACAGTAAAGGTATCCCTCCAGGTGGGAAATGTCTTTGGTTTTTTGTAGTTCTCAGTCTTCTTGGTGTCCTTGGGAGGCAAGAAGAGAGTTAGAGATCAGAACTGCGGGACATTTGGTACGGCAGCCCCAGATAAAATCAGATGGGTTACACTGACAGTACACTCCTAGGACCCCATCAAGCAGACAATCCTGTAACTGGTGAGGGCAGAAATTCAGCTGTCTCTCATATTGTGGAAGCAACACAGGAGCTCTTTCTTTGTTCTTGTTCTCAATGGGAAAAAATCAGATATACATGACTGCCCTCAAAAGTTTAGCAACATAGAACAGGACTCTTTCTCCTCAGGAAAAGGAGATTAATTTCTGTATCTGCAGGAGCCCCTAAATACTCTTCTCGTGTGGGTATCTAGCACTCCTACTATAGCACCTGGCTTTGCTGAGCAGCACAAGAGACAAGCTGCTGCAAGTAAAGACTGAGCAACCAGTCTTAACTGCTCTTATTTTTAGCTGCATGTTCTGGAAGTTGATATAGTGCCATGTCATCAGCTTTTTGATCACACTAGC